TTGGATAAGCAGCGCAGGTCTGCGGGCAGCAGATTGGAGCAGAGTGTTAGTGCCAGGCTCAAAGCAGTGTGATAAACCTTTGACGCAATGTCCAAATGGAGCAGGTGCACAAAGGTGCTGAGACTGACCTGATTCACTCCTTCCAAAGACTCCCATAATGCATTGTGAACCCTGTATTCGTCCCGACTCTGACCAAGTGTTTTGCCTCCCAAGAGAAGTTAGGATAATTGCATAGTCATGCAGTTTATATAAGGAGTAAAAATGGCAGGTAAACATCTTTATTCACCTTTTCCATGTTATGAAAGCAGGAAAAACAAAAACAAAATCCTTATTTATCTCCTCGGCTCTTTGCAGAGTTCAAAATCTGAACTCACTGAATCTACACAACACTCTTCTCTTTATGCATATTATTTCAGTTTTGAAATGATGATAGTAGATTAAACTACCTAGCAATATAGATCCATAAGCTAACATGTAATGCCCGTCAACTTCCTACACATGTATGCATCAGTAGGGTAGCGGTATATGGATAAAATATACTTTCACTAATATCGTGATAATAATGCCATGTCGTGAATCTTTTAATTGTGATAACATTGATATGTATATATTTTGATAAAAAAAGACCTGATCTGGGTGTCATTTTCTAATCCCGTCAATAGAATACATAAAAGATCGAGATACTTCATAACATGGGTACCACAAACTCCTAAAATTGAGTAATGCCATTCTTATTGAATCATTCTTTAACATTGCTTGCGATGGTCAAACACAAACCAAATATATGAATTGTATAAATACTTTTTCATGGTAAATATCATAATTTGGCGCGACCATATGCCTCAGTAATAATACAGCTTAATATTTATAGAAAATACATTTCCTTTAACTCTTTTCTAAAAAAAATTGAGTTATAGTCTGAATGCAACTTGTAATAGATTATTTCACATTGTTGTTGCCTGAACAGCTCCATGCACTCTCAGATTTAGGTGGATGACACAGCTCTGTCATACCACATAAAAGTGCATTGAGCACACTCTTATTTCTGTTTGAATATCCTGCCTTCTCTCCCACCATCCCACCCCCACCCCCCCCTTTCCTAACACACTCCTCCGGATGAAGGCAACATTACCCTTCATTGAACAGGCGTACAAATCCAATACCTCTGTGCCTGGCGTCCGCCAGACAGGGATGTGCTAAGACAGCTTTACCCATCAATTTTCTAATAACCATCATGGAATATGACAAGAACGGAAAAAAAGAAACCCAACAACACACAAGGGTGGAGGTGAGATATCGGAACACAGGCCACGTGATTATCGGTCTCTCAGGTTAAGAGCCATCTATTGAACCCCCCCCCGCGCGCGTGTGTGTGTGTGTGTGTGTGTGTGTGTGTGTGTGTGTGTGTGTGTGTGTGTGTGTGTGTGTGTGTGTGTGTGTGTGTGTGTGTGTGTGTGTGTGTGTGTGTGTGTGTGTGTGTGTGTGTGTGTGTGTGTGTGTGTGTGTGTGTGTGTGTGTGTGTGTGTGTGTGTGTGTGTGTGTGTGTGTGTGTGTGTGTGTGTGTGTGTGTGTGTGTGTGTGTGTGTGTGTGTGTGTGTGTGTGTGTGTGTGTGTGTGTGTGTGTGTGTGTGTGTGTGTGTGTGTGTGTGTGAATAATTATACTCTTCTACATTCAAACACATCCTCCTTTCAGTCTGACCTCCAGCACATCTTGTTTAAGAGCAAGTACATCTGCCTGAACTTGGTGTTTTAGGCCTTGAAGAAAATCTGAAAACTCCTTAACACTCTGCAGATAGAATTCTAAAATGAAAATTACTGTTTCATTGTTTATTTGAATTAAAAAGAGGGAATTAAATGTGCTCTTTGGTAGCTTTCCACTGTGTACACCTCTTTCTTGTCGTTGAATTAGAACCAGAGGTACATGTAACACAAGTTGCCCTTGGGCTCGCCTAGGAGAGAGAAAGAGAGGCATCAGTGTGAACTGGGTCCACAGCTGAGATAACTGTAGCCTTAACCTGTCCACTGGTTCCCTTATAAAGAGCGTCATTGTTGTGTATTGGATATCGGAGCATATGATTTTGGGCATTTACTTGTAGGAAAGGCACAGTCATCCAATACAATCTCTTTATGTAGTCACAGATACTGTAATGCACATTCTTACATCATTCACTCATTGAATCTAAATCATTCTTTAGACAGTATGCCTTTTAATTTGTTTAATTTAGGTGATACAATGATCTTCTGGTGCTCTCTGCTGCTGGGTCATCACGTTCTGGTGTCACTACGTTTTTGCAGTTCATGGAAATCCAGCAGTTGTCTCAAAGCCCTTTGGTGTACATGACTCTCCATGAGATCACACTGCAGACCTGTACAGTATGTGAACTTAACATAACTCAACAAGATATCAGACATACATTCATATACTTTACAATCACTTACTGAGATCTGAAATGCACCATAACCCAACTCGACCATGTTCCTGTATGTTGTATCTGCCGGGTTTATTGGGTGTATCAACTCAATCGATTTCTGGCTTTCCACCTGGCTCAGATGCTGCCACCCTCAACTGGCACTGCTCTGAAATGGGGACAATTGAGCAGTTGGCCTTTTTCTATAAAAAAAAAAGTGAAATGCAAACAGTTCATACAACATTTTCTTGTGGTGTGCAAAAAAAAACTCCATTCATGCAATACAGAAATCCAATAGAAATTCCTGCCACCTTTGCTCCAGCTGATGAGCAGATTTGAATGTGATCTCCGTGACTTGTCATAGGAAAATGTGTTTCAGTGGTAAAATATCACTGAATGATTTATTACAAAAAAAGCTTAACAGCAGCAGTGAGAGATGTTTCCGTTCGTGGTTGCTCTCCGCTGCGGCTCACAGGCTTCAGCAAAGAAGGAAACTTGAGGTGAAAGTCAGTTGTCAAAGGCTGAGCGCCTCATTGTGTCAGAGAGCAGTGAGTCCGGTCACTCCTCTCTCTAATGAGCCACTTGGAATCTTATTTATATCACCTGCTTTCTTTTGACTAACTTTTTCTTATCGGTTACACCTGGCGTGGAGGATTTTTTTCTCCTGGAGTGTCCGGCTCTAGGTGACGTTGCGCCGGTACCGGGAGCTCTCCTCCATTCCCCGCGAGCAGCGGAGACAAGCTGGTCGCTCTTACGACGAGCCTCCCATTCCCTCGCCGCGCTAAGATGTCCCGTTTCAAAGCGGATTTATTTGGCTGCGACACGAGTGGCTGTCCTCCACGCTATGAAGCACTGAAGACCAAGGTGAGAGTCTCAGCCCTTCTTCTTTTCATTTCATCCATCCCCAATCAAACCGGAGCGCGTAAACTTTTAGAGCTTCGCTGCGACGCACACGGAGTGGGTGGCCAATTTGTGCCTCGTGTGGGATTTGTATCCCGACTAATTTGGGAACAGATGCATACGTTTTCTGTTTTATCTTTTGTCTGCTTTTTATGCACTAGCCTACTCTTTATTTTTCTATGCGTGGGAATGCAGCCCACAAATCAGCTAAATCAACACGTTTGGTTCGAAAGTGTAGCCAGAATGTTGTAGTGCAGACTTTGTAAAGGATGTATCTGGTTGATTTGACTGAGCTGTCTTCTTGCAATTTCCTGCATAACTCACCTGCGTGTGCTTTATATGAGGGTTTAAATGACACGCTGAGAGGTGGTATAGGCACTGCGTTTCCACATACAGTAAAAAGTCATTTGAAATGAATCAGTCACGCTGTGCAGATAATAACCCCCATGATTCCTTGTCATGTGTAGATAACACGAAGACAGCGCTCTTGTCATCCAATTGATTTTTCTCTCTCACGCTGGATTACCATCTTTTATCTCTATCTCATCTTTTAAAGCCAATCTTTATCTTGTTACATGAACACTTTTACGCACGTTTTCTGAGGTTCGGCTCTCTTTCTGATGACACCATTGAATGCTACAAGCCCCATGCAGGTTGGGGTGATATATGCGGGGGTGATGAGGGCCTCTGTGGGCCTATCGAGGCTGTCTGCAGACATAAGGCATCCACACATTGAGCTGTATGCTTGTCAACCTGCTGAGAGGTTAACCTGTGCGCCACGTGTCAAGACCTGAACATCCCCCCCCTTCTCTACCTCCTCTCACTCTTTGTGGGAATACATTAAGGTGTGAGAAGACGGTGCACTCTCAGGATTGATTCAATTGATCTCGTTAGCAATGTTATTGAAGGGTGAAGCAGGAATGAGTTAAAGCCATGTCGCCTATTGTCACTCTGAAAACAGCAGTGAGTGTTTATGTAAAATTACAATCAATTATTTTCCCCTACAGTATGTAGGCTATTGCCCATTTCTCATTGATCAGTTGAATGAGATTCTGTTTAAAATGACACCTTGGTGCTGGAGTGACACCTTTTTCCTATAAATTAAAATCAGACAACTTCCTACACTTACAAGTAATAGGAGATTAAACAACTTCATGTATGAGGCCATGATAATAAAACGACATGAACCCATAGGTACGCCCTTTTTATTTATTTACATAAAATAGTTAAATCCCTTTATTTGATCAATTACGCACCATTCGGAGTTGTTACAAAAACATCTTAATTATCTTTTTTAAATAACAATTATTAATAATCTGAATTAAGCAGTAGGAGATACTAACACAAAAGCATTTAATATCTTAAAATTGCACACGCCTTTGGTTGCCTGCCCAGTAATAATCGCCAGCTGGGAGTCAGAGATATTCCTCTTTCTATTTTACCCGGATGCAATATTTCCTTTGAGACCGTTAACGCGAGCGTTTGTTGGATAATTTAACGCGATGGTCGACCCGGGTGAACTCCACTAAAAGAGGTTCAACTGCAGGCGATCCTCCTCCCTCCTGAGTTATAACGGGTCCCGAAAGAGGATGCTGCGCGCGTGTGTGAGGGTGGTGGGGGGGTTTGAAGGCGAGGTGGAGACGGGCTAGAGGGGTGGGGAGATAAACCATAGGTGTGCGTGGGGGGGAAACAAGCTGAGTGTGCGTCTCATCTAATAGAGCCTCGGAGCGCATTATCTTCCCCGCCATCTCCGTTTGGGCGGGCGGTGCTGAAGGGAAACGTCCAGAAGAGCGGATATTCTCAGACGCCGAGTGTAATTGGTGTGATTCCTGTCCCTGTTGGGTGGCTCAAACCTATTCATAGCGCGGGAGTAGGATAGAGAGAGTGGGGATGAGATCCGCGCAGTGATCCGCACGCAGTTGGAAAGGAAGGAATTATAAACAGGAGGGACGCACACGACCAGGTCAAAGTTTATTTTGCGAAGTGGGCTTTTTTTCCTTTTCTGCGGACATCACTGCGCCTCAGATTGACGCCGTGATGGAATGACACTTTGAGAGAGGATGATGGACACTTTGGCACCGGAGCTCCGTCTCAGAAATCCCCCCGCTTACACCAGGCGCGGTGCTGCTGACCGAGCCCTCAGGACGGTGATCAGTCATTTGTTTTGAAGTGGCAGGAAAATCCTCCTCTTGATCGTTTTCTCCAAACAAGAGTGAGAGATGGTGCGCACAGCGATTCCTCTGAGACAGACGTGCGTACTCATCACATTGCCGTTAATGAGCGCGTCTTAAAGAGCTTCTTTCTTCATCCTTCTTCATTCTTCTTCTCTGAACTTGTTGAACGGCGTTAAAGAGAGAGCAGGGGAACAGGGAGTACCCTGTACAAGAAATGTAAGTTCTTCTTTTTGCTCGTAAAGTTTACTTTTTGTGTGTTGGAGCGTTTACTCTATAGTCGTGTGTTACTCTGGCGTGGCTGCATTTATCATCTGTAACAAATAGACAAACAGTGTGCTGATACTTGTAGGACTTTTCCCTCAAAACAGCATGAATAACTTTTCTCTGAACCACAAAGGAATATCCATTCATATTTACACATGAGGCGACCTTGAATGCATCCAAAACTTACTCTTCAGGTCATTTTTTGAGGCGCCCCCTTGTGGAACTTATTACCAAATCGTTGCCTATCTATCAGCATAATTACATCTGTGTCATGCTGCAGCCAGTTGACCTGTACGTCATTTTATGAGCTACCTGTTACAGTGAGATTAGTTTGGCCACAAGCTTTCCATATTGCTTCACTCTTTCGCACATGCACTAGCTTCTTATTTAATACACATTTGCTTAATTATTCTTCTTCTTTGAGATTTATTTTAGCCCTTTGGTGTAAGGCATATATTATTTCTCACAAATCTGTGGCTGTGTGTCCTCTTAACTTTGATTTTTACATAAAAGTTATTTTCTGAAAGACCCACATGATTTTACCTTGGCCTTGTATTGGATAATACCTTTAAAATATATATTTTTTGAAGGACATGCTCATCATTATTATTACAAGAACATAATGGCTTAAGGGCTGAGGCACATGCTGTACTGAATGCATAAGATAACACCTTTTAAGTTTAGTTTTAAAACCTTAAATTAGTAACCTTAGTGATTTTTATGGAGTTGGAAATTGTGATTGTACTCATAATATTTCACTCAACCCATGAAAGAATGACAGGTAATAATGAGTCATCTCTTGTGTGGCTGTTGGCAGCTGTCGCTTTAAACCATGTGACTGTCCCTGCTTATATTTCAGCAGAGAGCTACCTGGGCGAGCGCATTCTTTAGAGCTCAAGTGGACGTATTGAGTATCCAGACATGTCACTGTGGTTGCAGAATAATGTGCCAGCAGCCTTTTAGGAAAAGTGTCTTTAATAATGCATAAGGTGTTCCTGTGTCGCACAGAGAGGAATGCTCGGTGGCGAGGGGAGGCAGGGTGAGAGACGGAGGGGATGGAGGCAGGTCAGGCGGAGGCTCGTTGGGTGCCCCGTGCACTGCTGCATGTGTGACGCTGGAGTAACCCACGCCCGAGGGTGTTCAACTCCACTCGGGGCGGCTTTCGGCGAGTCACCCTGTCAAAAGTGCAGCTCTCGCACACACAGTTCATGTGGCAGCTTCAGCAGCTCAGGGGAGGGGGGGCCGGGCGGGGTGGAAGGAGTTAGAAGGGACAGAGGAAGAAATAGAGGATTGTGGCAGATTCAGCTGGTGCAGGCAAGTGGAGGACGCCTTCGGAGGCCTGACCTGTCTGACTCCATTGGACGCTGGATGTGAGGAGAGGCTGCAGCCACTTCCATTTAAAGGAACCTCAGCAGGGTTCAACATGGGTTTTTGATAGCCAGCACTCATGTGGCCCTCCCTAAAACTCCATGCTACGGAATTCTATCATATCAGAGGAGGAAATCTCAATAAAAGCCCAGTGTTGGCTGTTTGTCTAACCCTATAGCCGAGCCACAGCTTTGATTCCTTCTGAAGCAGCCCACCCATCCCCACAGCAGAGTCACTTAACCAGCTGTCAGCACTCCAGCCATTTGCTACCTGCCGTCATTATTAAAAGATCATAAGCCTGCCGATTGAAGGCGGCGACATTTTAAGAAGTGGAAAAGAGCGCTAAGTGATGGGCTGACTCAGAGGCATGCCCCGGGGAAGCATTACAGGCGTGCTCTCGCTGTTCTACCGTAACGCTGCCTGTCATGTTTGCGGGGGCCATGCTTCACTCTCCATATGTTTATTCATGAGGACAGTGGCCCTATTGGCAGGTTGTTAACAGGAAAGATTAGGGATTCTGGAAAGGCAGGCAGAGAAATCTGGAGAGTGGAGCACAGAGAGCAGGCAGGAGGCTTTTTTATTTCTGAAGCGCGGCCAGCTTCTATCTTTATCTATCTTTCATCCGTTTCTGACTGTCTGGCCTCCTGTCTTTCTGTCCCTCTCTCTCTCTCTCTCTCTCTCTCTCTCCTGTGCTCTTGTTTCTCATTAAGCAAGGCACTGGTGGAGAATATGAAACGGGTAGAGTCAGGAAAGATGAAAGTAGGTAGAGACAGCACAGAAGCAGGGTCAGAAATTGCCCTTGAAAGTGCATAAAATGCGTGAAATTAAAAATGAAAGGTGGGATAGAAGGGATATCAAGTGGTAACCTTGTAATTATGCTAACCAACACGATACTGAGCACATCATTTAGAGCTAAAGTGGACATTTATTTATATTTCGAGATTTCCGTAATATTCTAAATTGTTAAACTTTTAAACAGACAGGCAGGTGTGTAAGTACTGCCCCCTGTGGGCCACTGTAGGTGATTTGTGTGAGGTTATGACCTGGCAATTCTCTTCGCTGTGTCCTGCTGGAGGAAAAAATGATCAAAGAACGAATAAAATTGAAGTCTGGAGCCCTTGAAAATGTTGCCACTACAGAGGCAGAAGCAGGACATAAATGCTGAACCCACAAAACCACTGATCAATAAAGAAAGAATCAATATGGCAAGAATTGACAAGTGGAAGGATGGGCGATGAAGTGGGACAGAAAGAGGAAAACACTGTGGCTCAAAAATGTACATGCTGAGTGTTTATTGCCAATTTAAACTGTTAAGGTATGATTCCATAACATTGCCAATGAAAGGGCTAGAAATATCCTCTTGAGTAAAAAGTGAATCACGTCTTTTTAGGGTTGAGGTGTGTCATATATGAGGGATGAGCTCCATCATTTGTTCCTCCGATAAAATGCATGATTTACAAGTGACTCCCACCAGTAGTAAAGAGCGGCTCTGGGGGCCTGCGTGTAACGTTTCCCTTGTGATTCGGAGAAACACTCAGTCATGCTCGAGTGGCCCCGGGGATGAAATGGAAGCAGACACGGAGGCAGGGAAGTGGTCGGGTTCATGGGTGGCTGTTTGGGTGGGTGGGATGAACTCACCAGCCAAACAAAACCTTTCCTGGGTCTGCCGGGCCTTGTGAAAGATTCATGCGTTTAAATATAAAATCCAGCCTCCGTTTGCAGTGCTGACTGGTTGGTACCTTCAGTCCCTTGCCGTGTCAGGCTGCGAGTGCACAGACTGCTCTACGGCACGTGATCTACCAGCACTATGTATGGTGAAGGCTCTGCCAAAAGAAATGCTTACCCTATCTTTCAGTATTAAATCAGATCATTTTAAAGCAGAAAAGCATGCAAATATGCAGTGTTTTCACCAACAATATTACAATTGTGGCTAATTTGCTTCATTTTCAGTTTAGTGGCAAATATATAATTTTGTAAATATTATTAAAACTTGAATTTCCTTTTTTATACACCTTAAAATAAATGTATTCACTTTTTATATTTCTATGGCCCCTCCCCATTTAGGCCCCGTTTAGACCTCATTACTGGGGTGAATTCATGGTTAGATGGTCTAAAGATATTTATATGTATTCTTTTCATATTTTAATGTTCAACCTTTTCTCTGCAGAATTATATGTGCAGTTTTGTTCTGTGGAAACTTTAGAAAATGTCAGTAAGATCAGTTGTCTAATGCAATGAGGGAGAAGGAGCAGATGTTATTTTTAAGAATTTCAAGCAATTTTTGTGAGAACCATATCCGCACAAATTACGTTTTAAAGCAAGCTTTGATTTTTTTTTTTTTTTAAACTTCCAACCTCTATTTTGAACAAGTCACATCTTTTAAGTCATTCCTCAGACACTGCAGGTGATCCCATTGATAAAATGTGCTAGATAAATGTGTTGTGACGAGGCCGCATCAATGCATGATCAAGATATATTTGCAGTTATATTGTCATACATTAGTTTTTTTAAATGTCACACAAAGACAGTCAGTCTGGCTGTCACCTCCCTCACACCCGGCGACCCCCACTGTTACTGTAAGTGTTATCGCTCTGTGCCTATATATATATCCCCAAACACGGAAGAAGCTCAGACTTCCTGTGAATGCGACGCCTCTTATGTCCTCGGGCCTTGATCGATGGTTAGAAAAAGCGACCGTCCCAAAAAAACCAACCTTTTCTCACTTAAAATGCACATCCACACTTCTTCCATCTGCTCTCCTTTTCTATCCCTCACCTCTTCTCCTTGGGGAGACGGAGGGTTATAAGCAGGGAGTAATGAGAGGAAGGGGCCGCTGTATGCAGGACTGTAGAGTGATAATGACCCCGCGCTTGTGATCTCTATTGCATGTTATCGAAGCCTCGCCACCGCTTGTTGTCTCATTACCCGTGACCTGAACCTCTCTTTATCCAGAGGTTGCATGTGGAGCATTCACACACGCTTTTTCACACACACTCTGGCAGACACTGTCCGGCCATCTCTTTAGTCTCCTCTGTAACACAGTAATATTATGTCTCTTAATGGGAACAGGGAGCTCGGTGCCAAGAGTTCCCTTTGGATAATTGGCTGCTACCTCACCTGCTGACATCTCCCCCATTGACATTCTTACATTTTAGATTTAAGGTTCTCCACCCCCCCCCCCCCCCTTACCCTTTTCCTCCATTCTCAGAATCACAATACCCACTTTTGTACTGGTTTTACATTATATTTCTCCATGATATTATATTGTGTGAAATGTAATCCCAGTTTCCTGCTCTATCGGTGGATAATTCTTACTTCTATTGTTGTGATAAATCACTATTTTTAAACAGAGCTCAAGGCATAAGGGGCAATTCGTTTTTTTTAAATCAGTTTGCAACCAGTTCAAGAGTTTTTAATTTAATCGTGTCATGTTCTTGAACACCTCACCTTTACCAAGTTTTCTTTGCCTCTAAAATCTTGTTTGTAGTGGAGGATAACACACTTTTTTCTCTGTATGTGCCCTTGCTGAATTTGACACATTTCCATGCCACTGAGCCTATATGCCCCTGACCTTGGCTGTTCATTAAAATGATCATTTACATCCATCAGATTGAAGTGTCTCCGAATGACACAGTGTGAACATATCCACAGACACAGATGCAGCTCCACAGCTACTATACTCTGGTACAACACATCACATAAACACTTTGAAGAGGCACATGCAAATACTATAACCACATCCCTATATGACAAATGTGAAACCGTACAACTGTACATTTCTTATCTGGATGTCAAATCTCCATATTGTTTCTTATCAGTGTCTCTATAGTCAAGAGAATAACCTAGAAGGTGTATCCTATTTTTCCAAGTCTTACATTACAGAAATCACCTTGTCATTCGGTCACAGCTTGTGCTCGGCTGCTTTTTTGGCACAATCTTTACTTTGATATTAATCCTTTTTAAACATCTATAAACAGTATAAATATCTCATATCCTCCAATCAATTCCCCTATCTTGTTCCACTAATTCACTATTCTTTTTTTATTTAAGGCTGCTGTGACCAAGTGTCTTAATTAATCTCAATTTATCGCATAATACATTTAAATTGAAATTAATTAGCCATGTTTGTGTTAATAACAAAAAAAAAATCAATTTACAAACACCCATCTACACTGTAGCTGCTAATTGATCACTGATGACTGGAGGGGATATCGGTCAACACACACACACACACACACACACACACACACACACACACACACACACACATCGTAGCCACTGAATGTAGCAGATAGTGACACACAGACAGTAGAAAGGGCACAGCTCAAACTGGTTGTCAGATATTAATGGACGCTATATTACCTGGGAAGTAAACCTCTGTATGTGATAACGTGCAGTGTCTCCTGCTTCAGGCAGCTCTACCACTTAAGAGAAAGAACGTTAGCAGCAATGTTCAAGATATTTAGAAAGATGTTGCTCATACTGACAAACTCTCTGCGTGGTGAACACTTTATCAAACCTTTATCAACAAATGTAAAATATCTGAATTTTTATTTCACTTTTTGGAGACTTTCTTTATAACATTTCAAATAAAGCTACCAAATGAATTACTATATTGAAAAAGTAAATGGCAATAACATCCTATACCCATTGATGACATCAGAGTCACCATGACCAATGACCCTGTACCTTTAGAGCACTTAATTAATCGCGATGGTACTCAAATCAGTTCAAAATAAGACGCATGCATATTCATCAAATTCTATACAATCTGTCTTTTCCCCCAACTTTTAATATTATATACTGTTACCTTAAGTGGATCACCTCACAGTTCTGCTCTCTTTGTGTGATTTAGATTAGATCATATGAACAACTAAGTAAAACATAATAGATACATCTTGTTTGATGCCTATCATTCCAGCTCATGCAGTGTGAGGGGTGTGTGTTGGGTGTGAGCCGATGGTGTAAGCTGTCTGTAACACTGTAGGCTTGATCCAACCGAGTGAGATGAGGGTTTGGTGTGAAAGCAGCAGGATCCAATTTACCCTGATGGCCTCGCTTACTGATTTTTTGTGTTTTGATGGACAACAAACACCAACCTGGCACCCCCATCTTGCACCCATCTAACTTTAAATCCACAAATACACCTTTCACCCGTATCATGGCGCCAGCTAATGTTCCCTCACTGTCAAATCATACTCCCATAAGGATGGTGTATTCACCCCACCCTTCTTCTGTTTCTCCACAGCACTACATCGCCACGCAGGAAGAGGACCATGATTGACAGCCGGGCAAGCTGAGGAGACCTGTCACTCATCTTCCTATCAGCGTGAAAGAGGGCTATCTCCTTCTCACCTTCCCCCCCTCTTCCTCCTCCTCACTTCCACCTTACCTAAATCCTCTTATCTACTCAATGGGCTGGTAACCTCACTATCCCTCATAGTTATCCAGCACTCGAGAAAAAGAGACAGAAGTAGTAAAGAAAAACAACGAGACACTTCTAAACCTTCCCTCGCTCCACCTGAGGGGAGCTTGGCATGCCTCCTCACTCCAGTTGAGTGAGTTGTAGAAAGAGGGATCCCTTGTTAGTACAGAATACAGGAGATACAGCTCCTCGAAGAAGGAGCCCAGAGAGGACCAGTCATGCGTTTCCATTTTGCGCTGACGCTGTGGACCAGCGTGTGCCAGGCCGTGCAGCACTACCCCGCCGCATGGGGCCACTACGACTTGTGTAAATTCCAGATTTACACAGAAGAAGGCTTAACCTGGGACTACATGGCCTGCCAGCCAGAGGCCGCAGACATGACCCAGTACCTAAAAGTCACTCTGGATCCCCCCAACATCACCTGTGGAGACCCTCCGGAGACATACTGTGCCCTGGTGAGTACAAGTAAAGAAACAGCTAAATATTCCCTTTTTAAAAATTGCACACACACACACTTCATTTCAAGGAAGCCTTCTTATCTGTGTCCATGAATCGTGTGTCTTCTCGGCTGGTTCTGACCCCACAGCCATGACAGTCACGTTCAAAGCCTCAGCGTGGCTCAGATATGTTGCCGGGGCTGAGGGAGTAGAGAGGTTTGTGCCCATTGACGTCACGTTATGCTGTTTAGAGAGCTGCTTCCAAGAGTGCACTGCACTGTCTCATGTGCCGATGACGCTCTTTACTCCCAGAAAGGCACGGTAAAATGGGATATTTCCAACAAAAACATCATAAAAAAACCTTCATCTGTTTTTATTGCAGCTTCTCTGTTGTATCAGAAATAAGATGAGTGGGTGGTCTAACATTTCAAACACTCTCCGGGTGAAATAGTGCAGAGGTGGACTATAAATATAACAGCATGTTTGAGAAGTTAAGTGGAGCACTGTTTGAAGTCCCAGTACACCATTTTTGTTTGTTTTTCTTACATTTGGCAGTACTTCTGCACGTGCAGTGTGCGTTGCTTTTTTGCTTTTTTTTACTCAAACATAGCAGTCCAACGTAATCAAATTCACTGTCTGGATTTAATATTAGCCAGTATGGTTATTTCTTGTCCTTAAAATGTTTATTTAGGGAATTCGGTGACACTGTGTATTGGAGACAGTTGCTCTCCATTTCAGCATACTGTATTTGCCTTCCTGTGAGAAATGAATATCAGTCAGTGTCAGGTGGTCGACATGCAGGTTCGTTTTGTGACTTTGACCATGTTAGCAGGCTGTTTTTAGCTCAAAACACCACAGCGCCTGTGCCAACCTCACAGAGCCACTGGCATAGCTGTAGTTCTGTCCCCCAAAAATACTGTATAATGGATAATGAAGTACTTCCTTATTTTACAGTAGAATCAAAAACAAAATAAATCAAATAGCATTTCCTTTATGACAAGAATTTCCAGCTCAGCTTATTTTCTTGCAGGAAGTTGCTATGTATTTTTATAACCAAAAACAGGTTGAGGGTATTTTATTATTTCAATTAGCTTTTTGTCTGTTTAATTTAACAAAATAGAATGTCAGGGTTGTTGAATCCCTGAACACATTTCCCGTGATCGACTTGTTGATGAAAGGCTCCACAGTGTTGCACGTCTAATCCTGATTACTTAAAAGTGATATTTTGTCGGATGAGAGGCATTTCATATTGAAATAGCACAATAAAGAGCAGTGATTGGTTGATTGCTTTACCCTTTGAAGTTCACGCGGTGCTGTTGATTCTGCAAATTACACTGCAATCATACAAAAAAAACACATTCCTTGAGGAGCTGAAAATAAAATGAGCAAAGAAGATGCATATTAGGTCAAGTATTTAATTAGCAAGCCGCCCTCCTCCTTATTCCGGCATCTTTTCACTTTGAAACTCACAGCTGGTCGCCTCAGATTAACGCTAAATGATGAATCCATTTTGGGCCGTCGTGTGTTACCAAGTCATCAAAGATTCTCTCAGAACAAATGCACTCCTCAATAGCTTCAAGAGCTCTTTAGATAAATAGAAAGATGTTCGAGGGAAAGTAGTAACTTGAGAAGTATAAATAGACGGTCGCCATGAGCAGAAAGTCAGCTGAGAGGAGACACAGAGAGATTAACAAAATACAGATGACAAAGACAGCGAGAGAATGATCAAGAGAGGCCCAGCGAACATGGGGGAGACAGACTCAGAGGACTATGTGCAAAGCATACGGTGACTGAAGAACTAATATCTCCTGTGTGGGGCGGGATGGAGGCTCCGAAATGTGAATAATTCAACATGTTTTGTAGCTAATGTGTTTTATTCATAGGACACATTATTCAGCCCGACATCTCTCAGGCACTTTTGAAAAATGCTGACTCCCATGATCGGCCAAGGTTGGTCGAAGGCGAAGAAGGTTGGGGCAGGGGGAGGAAGCCGAATCTGGGAGGTCGTCGTCAAAATGGGGTCATCATCCGTTCTCCCTCAGGGGATCATTGTGACCTCAGGTCGATCCTCATTTGAACCTGAAATGTGTCCGCCGCTAGCTGTTCAGCGACTGGTTTGTGGATAAAGTGTATGAATCCTGCGTCAACAGTGGACATTCTTGCTGACGTTTCAACGGAGGTGTTCTATTTCTGGACGCACAGTTGAAACAGAGTTTATTATTATTATTATTATTGCCAGCCGTTTAACAGTCTGATGATCGTTGATTGAATCAGAGGGAGTTTGCGCCGCGCTGCTGCCCTCTTGTCTCCGGCAGTCAATGTGAAAGGGCTTCAATTAAACAGGCAGCGGTTAGCTCCAACATAGCCATTTACTCTCTCGCTGTACTGTACTCATCACAAATCAGTGAAATATGACCCCTGCCGCTTGCCATAGAGTCTCTGCAATTGGTTTATGTTTACTCCGGGCAGCTACATGGCTCCAAATCAACATCGGAACAATTATCATTGATATTCCAGCTACTTGGCTGCCAATACGCTGCTGCCATGCCAATAGTGCTTTGCATCGTAAGTCAGATCATTGCAGATTCAGGGCAATTATCATTAGGCCGCGTTATCGGAGAATGTCATCTTTCTGGTAATTGATTCTGCGCTCGTACAGCCGGGTGTATTTTAAAGTCTGCTTCCTGAAGGTAACGGACACCAAAGCCTGGCGAGAGGAGAGAAAGGTGGGGAGAGGTGCAGCAGCTCCAGGGCGTGGCGCTTATATGAGCTAAGTTTCCTCGGGTTGCGGCCTTCATATCCCACACACAAACACACACACACATTACACATCACTCTCCCCAGTAAAGGCTTTTTATTCTGCTTCTAGCCCGGTGACCTTTTCGATAGCAATAAGCTGGCATTCACTGAACTCTGGCACACAAATCTGCCATCATATGAGATTTCACTGTCCCCTCCAGTTCTGCTCAGACTGGCCTTTGAAAGTCTGGACAGGTCGCAGAGCCTCCAAGAGTCCGTGATTGACTTTGTGCAGGACTCAGGAGAGCAGCTTGGACTTCATAGAAAAAGGATGTGTTGCGAAATAAACTAATTCTCGTTAATCAACCTGTCCAGACAAATCGACAGCTCAGAATTTTGTGTATTCTCAACACTTTTACACCTATACTTGTTTAGAGAAGTCTGTGCGAATACTGCAAATACTGCCTCAGGTTAGGGTTACGGTTGGGGCTGGTAGATTCCCCATGTCTAGCTCCTGTTATATATATATATATAGTTTTATATATATATATATATAGAAGAAATCTCAAGGAAATTATCAGTGTTTTATTTATTGTTCTATAGTTTAAATTAATGTAACATCTCAGTTCAACCATCACTTCAGCACAGCTTATCAACCATCAAACCCTTACATGTGTCTATGATGTACTTGGGATTAAACATAGAAGAAGCCCCTCCCTTGGTGTTACTCTATAAATGATATACTAAACGTGCTTGTGTGTGTGTACGTTTTCCTTTCAAAGTACAGTTTGTCTCTATTGATGCCATCAATTTACAACCTGGAAATGCTAATGAATGCTGAAACCTGATTCCCAGCAGGCCATTGCAGTTCATAACCAATCAAATCTAAATGAGCAGCCAAAGACGATTATTATAAAGGTGGTGCAGTATGTGGCTTATCTTGCCTATTTTAGCTCTCATGAAATTTCATTTAATTAGTGTCATGATGAGAAAAAGTATCTTACGAATAGTCTCTAAAACCCTAACCTTCAACCCTAAACTTGAATATATCATATTTTGCATGTAACTGAAGGTAATGTCATAACATATAGGGGGAGGGACATTGTAACTCATAGAAGCTTGCATCTTTAGATATGTATTGCACATTTACTTTACTATGGTTTTGCGTTTGCAATATTGTCGCCTTTCTAAGGTGTTTTTGCCAATAAATGCAAGTGAGGGGTGCCGTTGACTCCCATGGATTTACATTGAGAAACATAGCTCTGACCTTTCCTAAGCTGATCCTGATTAGAGGTTTCAGACAGACCCACCCCAGTACCACCCCCCACTCACCAACTGTGCCGCCTCTCAACAGGCTCCGGACTGACATTTCCTTAACAAACGAGTGCTCTGTCAGCAGCAATATGTCTCATTTCACATTGTAACCGTCACTTTTAGAGGGTGAAAGTGATGGAAAGAGACTGTGGCTTTTTCACGAGGCAAAGATGACATTTTGTTTTGTAAACTTGTTGCATTGGCTTTTTCATGAAAAGGCAGAACAGCAAAACAAGCACAAATGTAGCTTTTCCTGCTGATTGACTTTTAAAGAGGTCGAAGTAGCAGTTAATCAGCATTGAAAAACAAATTAATCATTCAATAGAACTGTTTAACATCAGAGGAATAAGTCAACTCAATCCATTTCATGTGTCTTCTTTCATCTTTGCCAGAGCAAACCAAATCAGAGGGACAAGATACAAACCAAACAAGCGTAAAGGAGAGATGTGTATAATTCATTAAGTCTTGCAGCACAAGTCATTGTTCTCGGTTTGATTAGTGATGGCTATCTGTAGTGCAAAACAGTTGGGCCTGAGTTATTATTTATGGATAATTCACCAACAGGCATCAGTTTAGACTTGACTGAATTGTTCACACATGAACTTAGACCCCATTTACACGCAAACGCATACGAAACGCAAACGAACCGAATACGATGTCAAAAAAGTCTTCCGTTCACACGAGGCGGCTCGGGAGCGCTGGAGACGCTGTAGTACATATGCCGGGCCTGTAAGTGGTGCTGTACTTCCGCACGAGACCGCTCAAAAGCGCTGGAGACGTTGTAGTACATATGCCGGGCCTGTAAGTGGCGCTGTACTTCTGCCACAAAATACACCAAAAGCAGCGAAGAAGACCCCCGAGCATGCTTGCCATGGTTGCCCTTCTGTTTATGCCCCGCGTTGGATTTAGCAACATGTAGTTCATGTAATTCTCCATGTCCACTTGTTGCTGATGGTTGTGGTAGA